AAATATGTTAATATAATAAAAAATTCTTGTCTTGTAACCAGGTAAATACATTTTAATTGCACACATTATTAACAGGTTGTTGTTTTTTAATTGCCAAGGAAGATGAAAGTTTTCAAAAAGATGAATTTGGTTTGAAATTAGTAAATTTCCATACATTTCAAGCAGCTTACTTGTTCATAAGAGAAACCCACAACTATAGGGTTAGGGTCAAACCTTATAACAATTTGTTGAAATATTTTTTGAGTTATAGAAATCAAAAAAGCATTTATTTCTCAGACTACTTGGATAATTATCTTTGTAGGCTAAAAAAATATTACTTGATTTAAATTGATTTGACTATCAAACTAATTGGAGCATTCCACCTTAATTAACTATTTTTAAACACATTTCTATTAATGACATAACCATGAATAGTAACTCTCACTCCTACTGGCAAAAAGTAAAAAGCTGATTCTTTGGTTTAGCTAAATCCATGTTGTATGCTAAATGTTTGTGTGTGTGTCTATGTGTGTATTAGCCTACGATTTTATACTCTTTTAACAACTATTATGTTGATGTTTAAATTTTCCCTTTAGATAAATTTTTTAAAAATGTTGATATTGTTAAACACAACTAGAAGAAAGCTTATATCTTGCTACTGAAATTGTCTGTAATTCTTCCAGAACTTTTTTTTAGCACTAACCGTAAGAAGTGTGTTCTGGATGGCTATGACTGATGGGCTGCTCACACATTCCACATTTTTCCTGCTTCATGCATCATCATCAGCCATCTCCAACACTCCAGTCCTGAATCTGTCCTACTTTCTGTTACCTGATTTTTGCTGGTGATTCATGAGTCAGAATAGTAAAAGGAAAAAAAAATCCACCTTGGCTTTTCACAATGTAATATCCCCTGAAAACTCCGTGGGAAATCTAGTTTTGGTCATCAGATTCATGCAAATGTAATATTGATCGACAATGATGTATATAGATCTACATACATAACACACTATAGAAAAACCACTAAGATGTTCTATTAATGGCAGAATGCATACTGATTATAAACTACTTCAAAATGATATGAAAACACTTATGTAAATGCATTTTGTTAGACTTCTAAGTGCTCTCTTGTCACTATTGCTTTCAGCTGAAGCTACTTTTAAACACTGTCCCTAGTGCGCTAAAAAATAAAATTCTTAATTTTCCAAGCCAATAAGGTGATAAAAGCTCAAGGTCTCTTATTAACACTTTCAAAAAAAATTGTGAATGTCCCATTATATTTTCTATCATCATGAGCACAAAAATGAAGGGCAAGAAATCCTTTCTTTTATTATTCTGGAGAATAGGGATTGAGCTTTACTCATAGTATAAGAAAGAGTTAACAAGAAGTTCACCAGCAAAAGGCTCAACTGAACTGTTTTTGTGATAATGTCTTTCAGATTCAGAAGCAACCAGGCCTTAAAGAACCGAAGAAAGAAAGCCTAATGGCCCTAAAATCTCAAAAAAGGGAGCTGCAAGTTCACGATGTTGTCTCAGTGCTTCTATCACTAGACATCAAAGTTATTCCCACAGGTTTCAGGAACGTATAAATGCCAGTGAAGGAGCAAGTAGACTTCACAGGGTCTAAGCCAGAAACTTCAATCTGGGATTCACCTGTGAGTCAAAACTCTTTGCTAATGAATTATTCCAAAGAAAAGATACTGCTGAGAGATACTTTCCCCTATCAGACGAGACCTCCAGGTCCACTAGCAGGGTCAAAGTAACAGGAATGCTCTGGTCTAAAGGTGCTTTGCCTACCTTAATGGACTCCAGGTACTCACCTGGGTATACAGCTTGAACCAATAAAGAGATCACAGTGGCATGAGGAATAAGGTAAAGCACTCCAGAGCCCAGGTGAACAACACTCCACAAGGCATATAAATCGTGACCTATATGCAGACTGCAGCCCATTTACAAATGGGTCATCCTAGTCAATCCGGTGCTTGGGAAGGAGTGATGTCAATGTAAAAATAAACAGTCTACATACTGAGCTCAAACCCATAGTATTCAAAGATAATTCACAAAGTCGATCTTACTCTTTTATATAAATTTTAACAATTTGATTTTACTAATGATATTTGAAAACTCTCTACCAACATTTAAAATATCAACTTCACTTTTTTTCCCCAAAATTTAGTTTTTCTATGCTTTGATGTACCTCTTGCATTCTGCACATGAAAACGAGTTGGTATTAGCAATATGAAACCACAAGAGCTAAAGTGATGTTCAGAGGATTTGCAAAGAGGAACGTTTATCTGAAAAGAACAATATGTGAAGTGATAT